CCTCCACAAGAGAAGCAGACATCACCGCACATGTGAAGGAAGAAAGCCAACCTTCCTCCACAAGAGAAGCAGACATCACCGCACATGTGAAGGAAGAAAGTAAACCTTCCTCCACAACACAAGTAGACGTCGTCCCACATGTGAAAGAAGAAAGCCAACCTTCCTCCACCACACAAGCAGATGTCACCACACATGTGAAGGAAGAAAGCCAACCTTCCTCCACAACACAAGCAGATGTCACCACACGTGTGAAGGAAGAAAGTCAACCTTCCTCCACAACACAAGCAGATGTCACCACCCATGTGAAGGAAGAACGTCAACCTTCCTCCACAATACAAGTAGATGTCACCACACATGTGAAGGAAGAACGTCAACCTTCCTCCACAACACAAGCAAACGTTGCCATACATGTGAAGGAAGAAAGTCAACCTTCCTCCACAACACAAGCAGATGTCACCACCCATGTGAAGGAAGAACGTCAACCTTCCTCCACAATACAAGTAGATGTCACCACACATGTGAAGGAAGAAAGTCAACTTTCCTCCACAACACAAGCAAACGTTGCCATACATGTGAAGGAAGAAAGTCAAACCTCCTCCACAACACAAGCAGATGTCACCACCCATGTGAAGGAAGAACGTCAACCTTCCTGTGCACGTCGTCTGCGCCGATAGAAAGCTACGTAGTTTGTACAAAAAAAGCTGCAACGTCTGGCAGAAAAAAACAACAACCGACGCAGCCCTGTGCTTGTCTGCCACGGTAGAATTTATCACTTATTATAATCACGTCAAAGCGAAAGAGGCTTAGGCGTAAGTTAGGCCTACAGACCTACATGTGGTAGCCAAAGGACAAATCTGGGTTAGGCCATGTTGTTTGATTATATGGATGACATCCGCGCGCCCATCAATTTTCGCCCGTTTCCAAAAAAAAAAAAAGTTTTCGACCATACTATCAATCGTGCAAAAAAGTGGCAAAATGAGCAAATATATGCTGTACATTGCAAAAAGACTTTTCAGAAAATGGATAAGGGACTGTACGGTATTTAGCGGGGGGAGTGCCGGAGTGTAAGAGGTCGGGTCAATTTTTTCCCCCTGGCCCTCCCCCCCAGGCTCAATTTTTTCCCCTGGCCCTCCCCAAGCTCATTTTTTTTCCTTGGCCCTCCCTCTTTCTGTAATATCAAAACTGACACCTAAACTGTTTTTTTTTCAAGCTCGGAAACGACACAAAACAACCATCGTATACATCTTCAAGGTCCCCAAGTTATAGATTTTGTTCAGAACGCGACATCGGAGCTGGGGGGAGGGGGCTCCGAAGGCGACGGGAGCGCCGCGGACGTAACAATCTAGGGGGGTCCCCAAGATATTTTTAATTTTTAGCTCTCGAGAACGCTATTTTCCGCATTTTGAGAGGCAAAATCTGAGAGAAGGATAGAGATTTTGACATATGTACTTTAGGGTACATCGGTGGGCCAGAGTTTGTTGGATGCCCGCGGACCCATTTAAATGTGTCCTCGGTAAAGAATAATGCGTCCAAAGACGCATGCCTGGCGGGAACGCTGGTCCAGGGGCATGCTCCCCCCGGAATTTTTGTTCCCTCGAAAGCGTAATATTACCTGCATTTTGTGAGGCAAAGTTATCGGAAATGGCTGTGATTTTGTCACTAGTATGGTGCCGAGTCGACACGTAGCGTCCGGCGGAGGTTCGGAATATATAAGTTTTTTGGGGCACTTTCGGATACACTTTTGTGCGTCCGGGCCAAAAATAATTTGTCAAAAGGTTTATAGCTTTGAAAGTGTTGGACAGGTAGTACGAATTCTGAAAAAAAAATTCCTTGGCCCTTCCCCCAAGCCAATATTTCTTTGCCCTCCCCCAAGCTCCTACTTTTTTTCCTTGCCCCCCCCCCTAAATTTCGTACAGTCCCTAATGTTGTCAAATTCCAACGTCAAAGAATAGGTTCTAAAAGAACAAAAATGACGAATTTATTGTGCAGTATACCAAACTCTGTGTATTTGGTCATTTTTTCGTCCTTCCTGACTACATAGATTTTATACTTAGGGAACTTTTTTTTTGGCCAAACTTTTTTTTTATTCGCACGCTCGCATCAGTTTTGGGGTTCCCGGAGGATGTCATCCATATAATCAAATCAACATGGCCTTATGCAGCATTACGTTATTTAAAACGAAACAAACACACAGGAATATTGTCCATGGGTGAAAATTTATACAGTTATTAATGTTAGAATGCCTGTCAGGAACCCGTTGCCATGGCCACACAAAAGGTATAAAATCTATTTCTTTTAGTGATACTTTGTCAACTGTATTTTAGGTCAGACACGGCGTGTGGCACATGAACAGACGGCAGGCGTACAAAAGGCTGGAGTTCCCCGGACCCTGGCGACAGTCCTGTGACGTCAAACAATAGAAGGGTACATTAGAAGCCGGATAACCAGCTCTATTCTCTCACCATGTGTTTATCAAACCGTTTCTTCTTCTTGTATTGCACAGAAGCCTAATGTTAATATCGTAGCATGTTAATAATGTACATCCATCTTCAGTTAATATTTTACCAACAAAGATGCAAGTGATGGAGTTGTCATTTGCTTCTCCTAAGCTGTGCGAGGTAGATTTCTGACGATGACTATGAATACGTAGTAGCCTGTGCTTGGATACTCTAGGTTAGGTACCCTGACCTGAAAATTTGAAAATACGTACCGATTGTCCAGTCACAAAAGTCCACACCGCTCTCTTTATCACGTACATCCCAGTACAGGGAAATGACAGACGTGTTCTGGTAGTCCAAGTCCTCTAGTTGACTTCCGTCCTACAATAAAGAAAAAAGAAACTTTATTGCTCGACAATTTAAATGGTACAATGCATGGCAACAGAATTTGAACACAGCAAAAGGTATAAAATAGAACTTAACATCCTTATTACTTAAACAATACGGGCTATCATAAAAGTCATAACATAATATACATGTAGAGTTACAATTGAGTGGAGCTAAAATGAGTTTCGGCATTTTCCATTGATATGAAAACAAGATACAAATGCAAGTATGTAAAAATAGTGAAGACATCTGCGTCAGCATGTTATTACATCGATTAGCCTTAAGACTACAGGTCATTAGGTTCGGATAAGGTGGTAGAATTACCTTAACGTCAGAGATAACTGGCGGTGTCAGGTCCACCAGGACCGGGTCCGAGTACACGACTGTCTTCAGGTCTGCTGCGTTCTCTGCCACCACGGTCACGTGGATAAAGGCGCAGTGGTCCAGCTGGATGTGACTGTTCTGTGCATGCGTGTTTCTTCCGACTGACTTAAAGGTCTGTAGTTGTGTTTCACCTGTAGATGGCAATGGCCTGAGTGTTATTACTTCCGGGTTAGAAAGTATTGTTTTGGGTGGTTGACCTGTTTGTTTGTATGTCTGACCAGATAGTATGCTGGCAGGATGAGAGCGGGAGGAAGGCAGAATGTAAGCAGGTCTAAAGTATAGAGACAAGAAATATCCAGATGTAAAAAGCCAAGGACCGCATGATGGGGGACCTAAGATACTTTCGGGATGTCTGAAATCTCCAAATTCTTGTTGGTCTCCAAATCTCCAAATTTCTTGTTTCGTTGGTCTATGAAAACAGTTCGATTTTTACCTCCATGAAAAATGGAGGTATCGTTTTTGGCGCGTCTGTCTGTGTCTGTGTGTGTCTGTCTGTCTGTGTTTCCGCACATTTGTAGCCAGCATAACTTCATAACGCCTTTATGGATTGTGATGATATCTGGTACCTTGGTAAGTCATGCATTGACAGATAGATTGTCTTGTCAGGAATAAGTGGTGTGGGTTTGGTTCTCCTAGCAGCTTGTACTGGAACTACAGGGGACTTTCGGGCTAAATGTTTAAAAGCCAATAAGTCCAGATAGGAACAACATATTTTCATCATTTTTGTAGGTAGGTAGCTGAGAGAGAGTTGTACATAATTAAATGCAAATTATGGAAATAAGGACTTTATTTGCATAATCAATGAGGAAATACTATAATTACAGTGCTTTACATTATAGTACTTTCATACATGTAATGTATGCAATCTAAGGCAGATGGAACATCGACAGATACTAATTATGCAAATCATGATCTAATTTGCATAATTAATGCGAAAATTATATAACTCCTTAGTGGTTAATGATAGGAATTTAATACTTGGTACATGTGTAAGTTCACATCACGATGCATTTATTATGTTAATGTGGAGGTCATTTGCATGATTGAAGTAGAAATTAACATTCACATGTCAAGGCCATATTTCATGGAGGTATGAGATCTCGGAACTCTTGTTCTGGAATACACCCTTTTTACAAATTTGAACTCGTGTGTAAGACCAGGTTCAGATCAAGGAAATGGGGAGACAAGACGTACATCAACTGTTGTAGCTGTATGGTATATTCACTTTTGGAAAGTTGTTCGTTTTATACAGATATACCATTACGATACACCCATCCATTGTGTTTGAGTATCTTTTGGCTTCGTTTTCTAGCCGCCCAAGGTCTAGTACTGCCCCGCAGCGTTTGCCAAACTTAACTGAGATGGTCCGTACCATTTTAAAGGACAAGTATAGTAATTTCAGTTTTGCAAAAGGTGATACATTGGTTTCTACCAGTCCTGCACACATAGGTGTGATATTTGACCCAAATCCATATTGACGTTTTAAATGACTCTCAATTCCAACAGGAGGCTGCGGCGACGTCATTGGGTCTCTTGCACCAGGGTGAGTTAGCTGCAGTTCCGTTGACCTCGGTAGAAGACCAAATAAAAGAGGGCGTCATAATGTTAAAAAAACGATAACATATTTTTTTGTTTTCAGTTATTTTACAGGTTATACCCTAAATTTCAACATATTAGTTGGTCGTGTTCCTCTAGTACACCTTACTATAACTTTTACTGTGTCGACATGAGTCACCTTGGGGGTACGCAGTACGCAGTATATATGGGCGAACCCCGTAGTCAAAAGTAGTCCGGCAGAAAGTAGCGCTGCACAATACTAGAGAAAGGGGCAGAGATTCTTGTGTGTACGCCAGCGAGGCGGATACTGTGGTGAATGGTAGTGGAATACGTCAGGTTTGAGACTGTAAAAGTTGAATTTTCATGTTCGTTCGGTTAGCGTAGATTCGCGCCTTGATACTGTCACTGCCTAGTGCCGTGGGTTTGCTGTAATTCCGTGACCTTCCGCATAGCGCTTTTTAAAGGTTGCGTCACGAGTGAACGAGCCGACAAACTCTAGCCCCTTTTTCACATATTTTGTACATTATACCTTGAACTCAAACATATTCAACTCCTGTAAGTTACTTTTGCACTCTACTATATTTTTCACCGCGTCGAAGTAGGTCACATCTGGGTTCTTAACTATAGAAATGCGAATAGGCCGGAAACTGTGTACTGCTACCTTAACTGTAGAAATCCCCATAGGGCGGCGGAAACTGTGTTCTGCCACCACAAGCGCCTCCAGTTCAGCCATGTGGGTCGCTCGCGATTCCTTCTCAAGGCGATCAGAAAACTCGAGAAAGTGGTGTTCTAGAGTCCCTGACGACGGCTGGACCTTCCGAAATAATGACTACTATTTACGAGGCGTCTTTTGTTATAGTATTTTGATTGCCTTGAGCAGGTACACAGTTTACACCCTGGCCCCATGTTTAGTGGGTCATACCACTAGCTAAAGGACGACAACAATTATAACGTCACTTGGAATTCAAAATTGTGGTCATTTTCGAAGCGAAGAATACATTTTGTGATCTATATACCGATTGTTTAGTCTTATCATGCATCTACTTGTAGTGTTTAAATGTCACGTAACAGATTTTACTTTGATGCCATATCGGCATATTTGCTAGTATATCCCAGAGTGGGATCGTCTGGGTTATAGGTCTTATTATGGCGGGAAGCCAGGCGGATGATGAGGGGAAGCATGGGTAATATTCAAGCAGATGTATAGGGTTATGCTTCGTGTTTTCAAGGGGGACCGGGGTGGCTTAGTATTGAAAGAGTGAATCATTGAGAAAACTCTGACCTGGTCAGCTCTGATACATGTTGAGTTATATTAATGACATCAGTGTGCACATGATTTTTCGTCATTAAAAAATCAAATCAGCATGGTCTAATATACACCGAAATGCCCGTCATCGGTGCCGAAAATGCCGGATGCCTTCAGACTTTAAATCTGATGTTTTTACTGTGATCGATCTACTTAAAACTAGTAGACGTATGTGACACCCGTCACATACGTCTACCGCAGCATAATTGTAAGGGCCACCAGGCGATCACCAATTCTTGTTATAGTACTGTATCTGTGATGTGTCGTAAACAGTATATCGTGTGAGCTTGTGTTTACCTTAGTACTTTGTAAGGCCCTAGGCATGCATAACGGTGAAAAGCGCGGGAACAAAAGCTTGCAAAAAATTTTCCCTACGGCGACATAGCATACAAATAGTAAGATAACCTGGGTAAACTTTCTGCTCACCAGCCCAATGTACCAATGACATAATTCATGCAGCACTTCTACTTGTACAAAATAACTAGATAGCCGACGCTGATTATTTTTCAGTTGTTTTAATGAAACAGTTTACACTCTTCTGTTCTTGTCTCAGATGTTTATCCATCACTCTGAATGAAGACTATGTGTTCCGACTGTTGACTACCTGGCATTTCCGCACGGCCCAGTGATAATTGGCACGGGACATGCCTCCGGCCGCCTGTCATAAATAATACATACAGATGAACGAACCCTCGCTGTCACTGATGACACGACATGCTGCGCAGTTACATCCCTTATCATGAAAGTTCATAGTTGGTAGTTACATGTTTAAAGTTAAAACTTTTGGTCCAACACAAAAAATTGTCTCACCTCACACTCATAAGGAAACTTACATTGGGGAAACAGAGAGGTCTCTAAAAGCCAGGTTTCAAGAACATACACGGCCTAGCTCTGCCAGTTCAGAGGTGTCTCAACACATTCACATAGAGTCACCCGGACATTTTGTATCACTTGACACTGTAAGGATTTTAGACACTAAACAAGACTATTTCTTGATAGGGGTGAAGGAAATAAAATGAAATGAAAAGCCATTTACATCAGGGCCCATCACCCTACATTGAACCGCGACGGGGGCCGACATCGTCTACCAGATACCTTTGACCCAGTGTTGACGTCACACTTCAAAGAAGCCACGTGACAAGCTTCACTGGGTCAGTCTACTGACAGAGGAAGACAAGAGTGACTGGTCGAAAGCTCTAGGTGAGAGAATTTTTTGTGTTGGACCAAAAGTCTTAACTTTAAATATGCATACATCCCGTTCTGGTCCACCTGTTGCTCAACCCCACAACCTGTGCATTATTACACTGTCATTGTTTGCTACTGACCTTTCTGCGTCACTTAGCCGTTTCCGAGAATTCGTGACTCTGTGCAGAATACTGCTCCCACGAACGTTGGCTTTTTGTGATGATTCTGGCATAACTTTACCCCCGAACTGTTTACTGTTTACTGCTTGGTGATCTTTAGGCATGACGGTTCCTAGTATCGTACACTGGCGGACTTTGGCCCATCGACAAGCCACTTGAGTTTGAGCCGTGTGCGAAATAGGTACGCAGATAAGAGAGTCCACGGACTACCTGTATTGTTCTCCTCCTTTTCTAGAGAGTCTCAAGCTGACGTACTGAACATCTCGGGTGATAAGTAACACGGGTGAGTCAATTTAGTTCTTGTTCTGCATTAGAACACTACTGTCTCATAGAGACAGACCCAGGTCGAGTTGGTGCGCAGTCGGGCTTGCTGCAGGTGGAGTTCAAGTCAGCACTTAGCCAGACGAAGCGCCGGGGCGGTTTTCCGTCTCGTAAACGGTCGATGCCATTTGAAACGGTTGATGCCATTTCGCTGAATGGTCGATGCCATATCAGAGCGTCCAAAAACGAATTAAAAGTAATATATACTATAAAAAGCAATATTCTAATTGCAAACATAAGGGAGGGCCATGTAGAATTGTAAATAGTAGTGAAAAAAAAGCACAAGCCCGGATTCGAACAGGGGTCCAGAAGTGTAGCTCTAAAACCCTAAACCCTAACCTCTACGCCACGAAACATCACGGTGTGGATGGCCCGTGCTGATACACTTAAAATTAACCGTTCTGCGAAATGGCATCGACCGTTTAAAATGGCATCGACGGTTTACGAGACGGACATTAGCAGCGCCGGGACCCTATCTTTGCCAACTTCAGTGGAAACGCAAAACTGTGTAATAGTTGGACTATACTTCTGCATTTAAAAAGACGGCTATTATGGTTTTACGTTGGACAAGAGGGCG